ATTACAAAAGGATTATTAATTCCATGCTCAATGAATTTTGGAAACATATAAGATAAATAAACTATAAAAGTTTAATCGTAAATTTCTCATCCAAGCTCAAACTTACGCTTCTGGAGACCCAAGATGGAAAATGTTTTGTTAAGGATATCCGATCCTCAGCCAGGAAGGATAACTCCAAAAATTAATATTTAATTTGAAGTGCATCAAAATGAAGCTTGAAAATGAAATTTTTTCATGCAACAATTTTCATCTTATTCATCTTTAAAAGATTCAAGGTTTTTGGAGTCTTAGAAAAGGTCTTATAAAAGTTGACAATTGTACCCTATAAAAGGAAAAAAAAATAATACAGTTTTAGAGAAATAAGATTTTCTTGAATCCAGCGTTAGATACCAATGCTTATCAGCATGATATGAAATAAGCAGTGATTTGAAGTGTCTTGCAATGATAGCAAAAGCCTTTACACTATGTATTATAGAATACATGATGGAAATTTAAGACAAAAAATACCAAATAAGTATAAAAATCATGACAATTTCTCTGAATGCCTGGATACCTACAGTGTATCCTTTTTTAACCTTAAATATATTTGTTGATCAATTTGCAATTATAAAATGCATTGCTGAGATTCCAATTCGCTTTTTCTGCAAAAATATTGGAGATTTGACAATTTTCCCTATATAATATGATTAACTTTGATCTTTAATTTTAAAGAAATACTGTGGATAAATTTACATAACTCTGTGGATTCAGAGATACTTTTATGAGTATTTTTGATTACTTAACTGCTAATTTTATAAACCTGAGGATCGGACTACCTTAATCTAAGGTTTTGGTGCAAACAATATCTCCAATAGATAAAATTTGATATTGGGTATAAAAGTTTATTCATCAAGATCAGCAGACAATAAACTCTTTTCTCTTATGAAAATTACACATTCTGAGAGAAATATGTATATACAAAATTACATGTATGTTTCTACAAAATGAATTTATGTTTGTAAATTTGCAACCACATGTTATTGATAACTGTGACTTAATTAAATCTTTGATATACAATGGCATATGTGTGGCAAAGGTTTTTTAATTAGAACAATAGCCAACTAGAAAAAAATGTTTAAACAAATAGTTTTATTAAGGAAGGTCCACACTTTTACGGATCCGGTTTTAATTTTACACACCAATATAAAATTCTAATTATCAATTATCTGTTGAAAAAATCTTTTTGGATGATTGAAAATAATTTAGCAAGTATGTATTTGTTTATTATGATGTCATTGAGCAATTTATGGAAATTTTAACACTTTGCACTCTGTCCATAGGAATTATTTATCATTTATTACATACCCAGACACAAAATTCTTTATTGCTTTATGGGCCTAATGCTTTTTAACTTTTTTAAACAAACTAACTTGAGATCTATTTTGAATTCTTTTAAAGCCTATATCATCTTTATGAATTTTACTTTTCTAAAAATTTTGCAAAGAATGATTGAAAATTGATATTTCAAATATGGGGGTATACGTGTTCAAAATTTATCTGGTTAAGCATAATAAACTATGTGTTTTTGTTAACCTGAGATATAATTCTTAATATTTTTAAAGAAAAAATGGCACATAAACAGTTTCGATTTTGAGAAATATTATTAAAAATAAAGAATTTTTGAGATTTTTTTCTGAAAGACGTGGGCAAATTCAACATTAATTTGTTAATGTTTTCCGATAAAGATTTCAAATATTCTTTTGGCAAATGAATATTTTTGATTTTCCTAAGTTAAAACATAAATTTAATGTGATTTGGTGCCTAGCTAAATGAAATATGATGTCTCACTTTTTTAGGATCAAATTTGGCTGTGGAAGTTTTAGAGGTTTGTACTCTGAGACGTGTTGTATGAAAGCTAACCTGCAAATATATGTCTTTTATGGGTGTTTTAGTTAGTTTATGATTTATTTAAGGTATTCAAATTAAAAAATTATTGGTTTGACAGAAAATTTTGAAAGTACGGACCTACCTTAAGAAAGTTTCGTAGAAAATGGTAAAATCATCTACTTTAAAAACTCAGTGCGTGTAAATTACAAAGATTAAATTCAATAGAAAAAGATATCAGTCATGTTAACTTAAAAAAAGGAAATGGTCGGGTGGATTGCATACTCTGCTGTACATGCACGTTACATAAGAAACACGACCCCGGGGCACGTTCAACCTGGCGTCTCCTTGTCCATTGAGAAATCTTAGCGAAATTTAACATCATATTGCATGGATGAATGCAAATTATTTGCAGTGTTTATGCATATCTCAGCAATAGGCTCCAGAGTTCTTAAAACAGAGTTGTTTAATTACACTTTTGACCTAGGTGACAAAAGGTCAGGATTTCCTTGTTGGAATTACGTATTGGCTGTTAGTATATAAACCGGTAGGGTAAGTGGCTATCTCTGCAGAACGCCTTTAATTGCAAAGGTAAGTACATCTGGTTGGACAAATAAGTTTTTCTTGCATAGTACACATTTTAGCATAGAAAAGCTCTAAATCCCCATTTCTATTTACATTACTAAAAAAAATTAAAAATTAAAAAAAAACATCTAAATAAAAAAAAAATCAAGAAATTTGAGTTGTTTCCAAGAGTTTAATTGTTATGTTTAGAAACGCCGATCATTAAAATATAAATAAAGGTCGTCATCTTCTTCTAGCAGATAGTTAAGCCCCAATCCCACTACCAAAGTTAACCTATATACTGGATATTATGTTCACTTAAAATAATGATTTCAGATGAGATCCATGTATTCCGTCATCGCTCTGGTTCTGGCTATGGGTGTGGCCACCACCCTGGCCGGAGGATACGGATCCTCAGGATACTCCTCCTATGGTGGCGGATATGGAATGTACGGAGGAGGATATGGATCCGGATACGGAAGTTACGGAGGTGGATATGGCTCCGGATACGGAAGTTACGGAGGTGGATACGGAGGATACGGAAAGTCCGGAAAGCACCACACTAGCACTGCTGTGTACATCCCATACGCTGTTCCCGTCCCAGTTGAACAGCCAGTTGCTCCCGCCCCTGCCATTAACCCTCTTTTGTTAGCTGGTATTAATAACAACGACCAAAACGATGGAATCCTTGGCAGTGGAGTCGGTCTTCTCGGTATGCATTCCCTTTTCTTTAAGTCTGAACAATTTCTTTTCTAAAATAAATTAAGAAATGAAATTCAAATTAATATCCCTTTAAAAAAGAATTGTTTCACTAGCTTGAGCAGATGTTATATTCGTTTTAATTTTACATGTACCTCTATATTGTTTTAAGCTTTTAAATGAAAATAATTTTTTTTTCAGCCTTGTTGTTCCTCATTCCTCTGTTGTTCAACAACAACAACACTACCGGTTAAATAACTGAAGGATAACTTAAGGGATAACAAAAATACGTAAGTTGCCTTTTTAAAAAAAAGTTCTATGCCTTTTCTCTTTGTAAGCAGTTTGGAGAGTCAATTTGTATAAATAGTTTCTCGTTTACTTCAGCAGCGAGTAATTACATGTATTTACATCAAATGAAAATACTATTATCTTTTCAAAATTCTGAATATTGTTTGTAATATTTCACATTTTATTTCCTATTTATACCTTTAATGTATTTTTCCAGGAACTTCATTGGCTGTACATAACTTATACCTAAAAGAGCACACCCTGTCTGGTCACTTACCCCTGTCAATCACTGTCCCTTCCTGTCACGTGATGAGGATTGCCCACGCCCTACGTGATCTCGAACGTTTGATCTACGAAAAGATCATGGAGTTGTACATATAATCAATAAATTATGATTATGACAAAACACGACTCAGTTGCTTATATATTAAAAAATGATGTATGTTTTGCAAGTTTTTAGTGGATTCTTGATGTCTTAAAAATTTTGCAATAAGGACATGTGACAGTTAAATGCAAGACTGGGGTTTTCATTCTAGTCACAACAAAATGGAACAGAATTAAAAAAAAATCTTTCACAAAAAAATTTGGTTGGGATTTTTTATCAGCTCCATTTATTTCTCTTGTAAAAGTATTGAATGCCACTTGGTGCAATATGAATGTTTCTTATATTTCAACTATCGATTTAAAGGTGCTTGGGCACAGATGTAAAGGTACTTGGGCACAGATTTGAAGTCAATATTTTCTCTATAGTATTACGACTTATATATTTTAATAGCATTTCACACAAAAATTAATTAAGGTCTTCCGTTTCCAACGGAAGACCTTCTACTGATTCTGTTGGTAAAGATTATTATTCTTTTTTTTTCTTCTACTTCCTAGACGCCAACTTTGAAGCCTCATATTTCACTCATTTCTCAATTGATTTCGCTCAAATTTTCAGAGGTTCTAGAGGTTACTAAACTCTATCAGAATGTTGTCTAAAATTTCAAAAAATCACTTCCGGTTTTGAGTTATTTCCCTTTAAACGAAAATTTATAGGCTTTCGTTTCCAGACAAAGGCTCAGAGACGGCTAAAGCTGGAGCAGAAATTGAACTGATTTTAGATAATAGAAGGATTGAAGTTGTGCAGATCAGTTTTTGTTTTTCGATTTCTTTATTCAAAATGGCGCCATACAGGGGTCAAAAATTAGAACGCCTAAAAGAGCGAAAATTTACACATATTTTGCTTTTTATCTTCTAAACTAAAAATATTTTGTTAAAATATATAGAACAAAATTTGTGCAGAATTAAAAGATCTTTCAAATGATATCTCGAAAAAAGGGCTGATCCCTAAATTAAGGGATCTAGAGGGACCAAAAGTTTTTTCCAAATATCTCGTAAAGTATTGAGAATTTGTAATACGTCTAAGAAGCAAAGTTGTTCAAAATGTCAAGCTTAATCTATTGAAGTCGTCAAAATTTGTCCGGAGACGTCACTTCCGGTCAAACCGGAAGTCGTAAAAAAATGCATATATTTGCCGTTCTTGACAAGTTTTTGGGTAACATATGTCACAGAAAGCATAAAACTTAATTTTCCGTCCGTCAACTTCACTTCCAAACCGGAAGTAGCCAAAAATAGCTTATTTTTAAGGTTTTGATGCAAAATTGAAATTATAAAGTGACTGGAGACGACTTAGCTCATTGCTTTCTTTTGTTGACGTCACTTCCGGTCAAAACAGGACGGAAGACCTACTCGTTGCTTTGCATCGAGCTTTGCTCTAGTTAAAAATCTTATTTCATTTAAAAGTCATTTAAACTTTAATTTTTTTGGCGGGTTTGATTGACACACCCTTGCACTTTCACAAATTTTAACCTTGTTCTTAATCCTTAGGAAAAGTGGCAATCTTGATGTGTATTAATGAGAAATATTTAAATTTTTATCCAGAAAAATAATTTTATTCCGAGTAGAGATGTTAGAAAGCAAAACTCCTTCACAAGTATCGTCATTCCGAACTAAGAGTTGCGTACAGAGTTTAGCAAATCGAGCACACTCGTGTTATGTACACAGTTTTTGTAAACAGAGCACGAGTTCTGTTAATGTTGATGTTTACAATTCACCGGGTGCGTTCAATAGTCACAGTCTGCTTACCACAACTGCACGGACACGAACTGACAATATATTGTGTGTTTGTTTTGCTTTCGAACATGTCTATTCTGAATTTTCTGGATTGTAGTATTAATATTTTTCATTTATACACAACGAGATTGCCACTTTTCCTAGGGATTAAGAATAAAATTAATTTGTGAATGTGCAAGGATGTGTCAATCAAACCCGCCAAAAAATTGAAATTTTAATTTCTTTTACATGAAATAAGATTTTTAATTAATTTTTGTGTGAAATGCTATTAAAATGTGTAAGTCGTAATATTATAGAGAAAATAAATAACTTCAAATCTGTGTCCAAGTACCTTTAAAGTTAATATTTTCTCAGGTTTTCTGTATAATATTATATAAATAGAGCCCTTTGATGAGGTCGATATGCTTTTCTGTGAAGTCGATATATCTATGGATTGACCGAATTAAAGGGCTACATTTGTTATATTATTTTTTTACATAGGTTGACAAAACACAATTAGAAAATAATGGGAACAAGGCAACAAGTTTCCTCTCTTTAACACTTACAGACTAGATATCAAAATACTATATGTAAAAGAAGCAGTTTTATGTAATTGTGTTTCCTTAATCGATGGAGTTATTTAGATGATTTACTTATTCAAAATACTACATTTATTTGATTATGTTTTGTATCAATTTTTTACAATATGTTCAAACATAAAGTAGATCCTAATTCAAGGCATTGTTATGTCTCATCAATTACAGAACATTAAAAAATATTAATACAAGATTAAGTATATTTTTTCAGAAACATTTAGTCATACACTGTTTTAGATGAAATCAGTACTTTTTTTTGTTTTACAGAAAATTATCTTCATTTTAAGAAACATCAAGTCGATATGCTTTTCAGATTCTATAAATAGAAACTCAAGTCTTTATGCTGTTATATACTTAATCATGTGATCAAGTGTGAGCCAATCAGAGAGCTTGGAATAAATGATAAAAATAATATAACGACTTATATCTTTATATAGCATTTCACACCAAAATATAATAAAAAGATCTTATTTTATCTGGAAATTATTGAAACTACGAATCTCAGGACGCGTTTGATTGATACACATGTGCACGCTCACAAAGTAAACTTTAACCCAAATACTTAAGAAAAGTAGAATTATTGTTGTGTATTAATGAAAAATATTTAATTTAATCCAGAAAATACAGGGTAAAAATGTGAGAAAGCAAACCTAACTCACCAGTTTTGTCAGTCCGTGCTCAATGATGTATGCAGGGTTAAGTAATTTAAATTGAACACACCCGTGGTCCATGTACCCTTGCATTTCGTTATTGGGAATAATGAAGTGCAAGGAATCATAGGACAAGACTAGTAACACTTCAAAAATGATTTAGAGTTTCAGAATGTTAACATACATGTATAGACAATTTCGCCACATATGATCCACATATGCATTGCCTTTCATATGAGGATTATATGTGAATTATACGTGAATCATATGATTTGCTTGATATGATTCACATACATGTATGATGCTCTCTTTTATGATTCTCACATGAAACTAACCAAATGATTCACATATGATACACATTATGTGGATCATATGTGGCGAAGTTGCCTGTGTATTAGTTAAAATTTCTACAAAAACTCAAACTGATTTGGTTTATTGAAATTTAATATTTTAGTTCACAAATTTAATTTAATCTAAATTTCAAATTTCCAAACAGTATTTAAAAGTTCAGTATTTTAGATTTGTACCTTAAATATTCAAAATTGAAATTTCCAAAAATGATTTTGGTATTTTAAACTTTTGTTAACGGTCTAAAGTTCAGCACCATTTTACGTCTTTTGTTTGTTTAGAATTTACTTCAAACTTCTAAATTTCAACTTTCATTAGGTTTTAGATTTATTGAAATATTAAATTTTGATTTAAACTTTGAATTTGAATATTTCAGGCCTTTCACCTTTCTAAGTTAGGAAGTATCGTTAAATTATACAGTTATTGACTGGGTATGAGGGCAACATATGATTTGTTGGACCTGAAGGTGAAAATGTTGCCCGAGGCCGCAGGCCAAGGGCAACATTTTAATCTTGATATTTGCCCGAAAGTCTATAACTGTTTTGTTATACCCTTCACTGCTCACTTAAGATTGATCAATTTTATTACACGCTATACTATCAATTATTTTATATGGAAAATTATGACTTCTTCAGTAAATATAAAACATCAAGCTGAGAAAGAACAAAATCAATTATAAATCTATTACATCACAAAAATTATTTATCACAAAACATACTCTTCCCTTCTACCTTACATTTGTACCTTGCTGTTAGCAACAACTCTTTTAGTTCTTAACTTCGGCTATTTTCGCGTCGCCGATATTGAACGATGATTATTAATTGTGACGTAACAGACAAGTGACGTTGCGGTCTAACAATTCTTATGTAAGACCGGTCAATAGTGAAATTGTTAGACCGACATAATAAACATTTCTTTTGTTGGACTTTTTATTAGTAATAAATATATAGAAGGATATTTATAAGGGTATAACAATAGCTTTTGTTTCAATGCTGAATCTCATTTGATTTTAAAAACTTTCATTATATTTAATTTTGTCGAAAAATATTTGTAATGTGATTGAAGTGTTCTGATCTTTCAT